TTAAATTAAATGTTATATATTGGCAAAATATCATAGTCTATAACACCTATCACAAGATGAGAGCCAGTCAAATCAAGTTGGTCACTTGCTAATGCYGCCATTTATTTTGTTTTCATTTTTATTAAATTATTTCAAAGACATAATCAAAGTGAAATGAATTCATTTAAATGTAATTTTTGATTCCATATTGCCACTAASATTTAATCTGTCACTAACCAACCTTGTAAATATTGAGTCCAAAATAGAGGCAAAGGCAATTATTCATTTGGTTGCTGCATTTAATGTAGGCTATATGCCTTAAAATGAAGTCATACAGAAAGAAATAATTGATTTTTCACACCGATGATTAATCATCATTCCACCTTCATATTTCACCCTGCCCTCCTCTTGCACTTTTAAACAAACACACTGCTTCTACAATTACATCTTTTTTKGGGGGTATTTTGTTGCTTTCTAAGCCTTGTCTCTGTTGTGGATGTTTTTATAAAATGCAGCCCTCTGAATCCAGGTCAGTGTGACCCTGCCCAGAGCATGGTGCATGCAAATGGTTGGAGAATCATTTTTTACACACATATATTTGAATGAATGTGCTTTGAGGTAATAAWGGCTCAGTCCTCCAGTTCAGTGAAGTTCATTTGCATGTAAATAAAGTAAAATATTAAGATTATAGAGGACATGATTTAAAAGTTGCAGGAGTTTCTGGACTTGTGTTTTGTTGGTTGCTAAAGCTTGATATAATCTGTAATAAATAATTGAACAGTCTAAAATCCTAAGTGTAAAAAATGCATACAACACAAACCATACAGTGGTRCTTGATGAGTTTTGGGTTAATTTATTGCAACATACTGTGCATTTGAACACTTTGTAAAAGGTCTTTAATATTTTGTTCAGTAATCTCCATCAAAATAGCCCCTTAGGAAAGGAGTGTCAAACCGAGGGCCACATGAGTATCATGGTTTTTCTTAAAGGGCAGTTTTAATTAACTTCGACATTTTGTGCCCAACTTTGACCAAAACATCAATTTCCTCAACTCATTGCTACACCTGAGCACTGCTAACAAACAGTAGCTGAGCTCTATGTGGTATTTCCTGCATGGAAACAGTGTTTTAACACGTCCTCTTATAAACACTAAAAATTACAAAGTGTAAGACTGACAAAATGTGAAATACAGAAATGCTGTTAAAAATAAAAGTAAGGAAGTTTTACTCACTGAGTTGTGATGAGTAGCTGCCGATGGTGGACGCAGCTAATCAAAAAGTTAGTTTCAATAAGTCATAATCCATTGACTAAAACTACAGTTTCACTAATGCTAAATTTGCAAAAGAATTTACAGAATATAATACTGAACAAGTAAAAATTAGCAGAAGGTAACGCTAACAGCTTATTGCTAACCACTAAGATGACTGTCACATGGTCTATGCACCTCTGAGCTGAAGGCTGGTGGGACTGACACAAGCCTGTTGATGCTAGTTTGTTAATTAGCAGTTAGTAGACTTAAAATTGACAAAATCTAACTTAGAGGAAGCTAACTGGTCAACTACAGGTTTTCAAAGTTAGTGAAAAAGCTAATAAAAAATAATCAACATGCATTATGGGATATGTTGTTTATGGTCAATTCTGGTTT